TATTAATATGGACATGTGTATACATGTGTTACAAGTGTATACATGTGTATACATGTGTATACATGTGTTACATGTGTATACATGTGTATACATGTGTATACATACATGTGTATACATGTGTATACATGTGTATACATGTGTTACATGTGTATACATGTGTATACATGTGATACATGTGTATACATGTGTATGTTAAGTGAGTTCCATCTGTATATTTGTTATTCGGAGCAGATCACACTAGTCTATTTTCCATCGGCCCCTGTACATTCTGCTCTCATCACTTATTTGTACATAAACTGCACAGAATTATTGCCCACCCACAATTTATCAATACACACATATACCCACCTTTACTGCATTTAATCCGTAGATACTAGCATTTAATAACACTTCTGCTATTTGTACTTATGATTAGGTGTTTCATTTCGTGACTCTGTGTTCATGCATAATGACAGTAAAGTTGAATCTAATCTAATCTGTTAACACTTTTACAAATATGTCACATTTAACATAAATTACTTTCTGGCTGTAGAAGGTGGAACGGGACTGTGAAAGTTTATTCATGCATATGCAAAAAACACAAGTCAGACTGTGCAGACGCTTTTGGAACAGAAGGAAAAAAGTGACCACACCGACTGAACTGTCTTGGTCTGCGTGTCATGATGATGAGAGACTGGCAGAAAGAACACTTTATTGGTGCCCAGAAAAGAAGGATGTGCATTATTATCATATTAGTAGAACGCGTAAATTACGAGCCTTGTGTTGGCACCGACGCGCGTAAAAACCGCGTCTTGATGTGGAAAACGCACGAAAAATACACGCGTTGTTCTAGAAAGTTATTGTGGCGTAAAAAGCGGCGCATTTACGTGAATTTTCGCCGGACAAAACAGCGTCATATCTGACAAACGGTGTATTTTGCGGGCGAATTGATGTCGAAACACGAGCGCCTCGTGCGTAAATGCTCCATTCTCGTCTCGCCGTAGAGCAACGAGGGAAAAGGCGTTAATAGCGCATGGGGCGCGGATGAATGAAACAGCGGGGAAACGGGGAGTGAACTGGTGTGTGCGGGATGAATGAGCGTGTGTGCGCGCGCACAGTCTGTGCAGGCCGCGGGCACGTGCAGGGGGAAAACGCCGCATAGAATCATGGACGGACCGGCTCCGTCACACCGAAAAAAGAAACGAGAAGCTCACAAATCTAAAAGAAAACAAGCCGAGTTTCACACAGGGGACTGTCACAGCACGAGGACTTCTACTGCTAAAGTGATCAAGCGCACACATTCACATAACCCTGTGTGAAAGGGCCACACTCTGAATATCGGGTTTAATTGAAAATAAAAAGAATTTACGTGGTCTGACGTCACGTGCAGAGGCTCAGTAAAGCACAATCTATATATGTACACCATTAAAAAACTTGGAGCAGTAATGAGAGTGAAGACACAGAGTGAGCTTACATGAAAGACAACGGGCCTCAATCATGAATCTTTTGTGTAAATAATTTCATAAGTTGGGTTTGGTTATGACGCGTCAAAATGCGACGGACAGAGTGAAGAGGAGGTCAGGTGCAGCGTCCACACTACGACTGAAGTGTACTAAACTAAATACTAAAACTAATCACTATTTTACTGTAATCAATCATAATCAATATTTGATGTGGGGTTCTGCTCTCAGGTAGATTCACATTCATTCACACAAAAACAGACAGAGAAATCCCACCACAGTCTAAACTTCTATCACACAATGTTCCAAAGGAGAGTTACAACTGACCTCTACATGAACGGAATACCATTTCTTAACAAAAAATGTTATAAAAAAAATACACATTTGGTCTAGCCTACTCAGCAACAATAAAACTCAACCCAGAGGAAAAGTTTACTGGAACACACAATTTCAGGATATTCAGTGGCATAAAACCTGAACAATGTCATTTCAATTAAAAAAAAATCATCAATAAAACAGGAGAACTTTAATTTAAGATCTTAATTACATTTTATCTTACAAACACATTTCTATCTAGATTTCTCCAACTACAAACAATGTGCAGCTTCTGTCTGGCCCCGTCATGCCGCGCTAGCTCCACCTGCTGGAAACAATTACAAGTTTTTCTCTCCCAGAATGTCCCAATAAAACATAAAGAAGAACATATCATTACGCAATATACACAGCAAAATGCTAAAATTAAAAAAAAAACTAATTACCTTCTAATTAATTATTCTGCTTGGCAAATAACACATCCACAGAGCAAAATTCTCCAAAACGAAACCTGATTTTCCATAACTGATAATCGAAATAAGTCATTCTTTTCAATCGATTTATCACTTATCCTGCAAAAAGCCACTTCAATAATCAACCTGTACAAAGACTAAATCCACAGTGAAATGTTCTCCCCCTCCTCAAACTCTGTCACCGATGCCTCTTTTACTTCATTTACTTCCCCTTGTTAGGTTTGATCTACTGTCATTTCTCTTCATTTATCTTCATTCTTTTTCCCACTTTGCTTTAATTATAAAATAATTTCCAACTTCAAGGAGATGACTTTAACATCACTGAATATAGGGCACAGGACTAAACCAGAACTAAACCAGAACTAAACCAGGACTAAACCAGGTCTAAACCAGAACTAAACCAGAACTAAACCAGACTAAACAGAACTAAACCAGAACTAAACCAGAACTAAACCAGGACTAAACCAGAACTAAACCAGAACTAAACCAGAACTAAACCAGGACAAAACCAGAACTAACCAGAACTAAACCAGGACTAAACCAGGACTAAACCAGAACTAAACCAGGTCTAAACCAGAACTAAACCAGGACTAAACCAGAACTAATCCAGGTCTAAACCAGAACTAAACCAGGACTAAACCAGAACTAATCCAGGACTAAACCAGAACTAAACCAGGTCTAAACCAGGACTAAACCAGAACTAAACCAAAACTAACCCAGGACTAAACCAGAACTAAACCAAAACTAAACCATGACTAAACCAGGTCTAAACCAGGACTAAACCAGAACTAAACCAGGACTAAACCAGACTAAACCAGACTACTAAACCAGAACTAAACCAGAACTAAACCAGGACTAAACCAGGACTAAACTAAACCAGAACTAAACCAGAACTAAACCAGGACAAAACCAGGACTAAACCAGAACTAAACCAGGACTAAACCAGAACTAAACCAGAACTAAACCAGGTCTAAACCAGAACTAAACCAGGACTGAACCAGAACTAAACCAGGTCTAAACCAGAATTAAACCAGGACTAAACTAGAACTAAACCAGGACTAAATCAGAACTAAACCAGGTCTAAACCAAAACTAAACCAGGACTAAACCAGAAATAAACCAGGACTAAACCAGGACTAAACCAGATCTAAACCAGGACTAAACCAGGTCTAAACCAGATCTAAACCAGGTCTAAACCAGGACTAAACCAGGCCTAAACTAGGTCTAAACCAGGACTAAACCAGAAATAAACCAGGACTAAACCAGAACTAAACCAGGACTAGTTTTGGACTTGAGAGAGTGGTAGATCCCCGAGCTAGAGGTCTACGTGGGATGGAATTTCCAGAGGGGGGAGAAAGAACTGAATTTAATGTTAACCAGTTAGTGCAGCCATAGCAATAGGAAAAAAATGACACAAATGTATTTTGTAACCAAAACTTCATTTTCCCACATTGTGCAAAACACTCACATTTACAGTTAGGACTAGGAAAGTTTTCAGAAATATCCATGTGTACAGGATAGAAATATTTGAGCATAAAATAAATAAACCATGTCTAAGCCAGGTCTAACCCAGGACTGAATCAGGTCTAAACCAGGTCTAAACCAGGTCTAAACCAGGACTGAACCAGGACTGCGTGTCGGGGTGGGCTGGAGGTGTGCCTGTGTAGACCATCGGGTGACCACAGGTGAAAGTACTTGTGCAGAGCTCCGTGCCTCCGTGCTCGTCTCTCGATCTCTCTTTGCTGGCACCCTGCTCCACGGGCTCAGGGTTCTCCATCTCTCTCAAGTCCAAGTTTAGTCCTGGTTTAGTCCTGGATTAGACCTAGTGCTGTCCTGGTTTAGTTTGGGTTTATTTATTTTAAGATCAGCTACCGCCAAATATGCACGGATTTCTATTTTATGCACACAAATATTTCTGAAAGGTGTCCTGCTCCATAGCGTAGGCCCTATTTACAGACAGCATTATTTTATCTTTCAAGTTAAAGTCCAAATAAACTTGATTAAACACAGTCCATAATCCATAGTGATACAAGTGTGGGAAAACCGGCATGTCTGTATAGAGGGATGTTGTAATACCGGGCTGGTTCCACGAGGGGAAAGCGAGACCACTGCAGCGGACCAGGTCTGGGTTAGCTGTGCTGTCCTCTGTTCCCGAGGTGGCACAAAGATGGGGGTGAAGCACAGATCCAGTCCGTTATATCTTCTTTTGAGTGGCCCGTCCCCCACACACTTGGTTCTTCCCAGAGGAAACGGTGCTCAGACCGAGGCACATAACACCCCTCCCCGCTCCAGCTCATCTGAGTGCTGGTTCACGTGAGGCCACTGTGATTTGGAAGTTGAATTAATACATAATAAATGTTTTTGGTTTAATATTTGTTTTCTGCAAATGACATTTTCTGCTTTTTACAATAAGACAAAACAACACATTTCTTCTTTTTATATAATTCTGATTTCCCCATTAATAATCTCAGAATTTTGCTGTGTTCTGCACCTGTATGACATAAATCCCGGGGGTGAGGCCACTTGAAATATGGATATACTGAGGCGTTTCATTCAAATGACGCTGGTTTTCACATTCATCACTGTCTGCTCTTGTGTACGCCAGGATCAGAGCTCCATATGCAAAAACATACAAATATACTCCCTTTCCACCGCAATGTTACTACATGAGGGCCAGAGCACAGCACATGTAAGGGGAGGGGTAAAAAAGACCCCTGAAGAGTGGTCAGGACAAGGACAACCATGTTGGAGGGGTCACACAGATAACTCCTGGTGCT